ACCATCTGACGGGCCTGGAGTATTGTGTCCCCCTACCCTCACATCACGGAAAATAAGGAAGGTTTGTCCCCGCGAGCTTGGGACTGCAGGCAGACTTGGGTCTGCGGGCGAGCTTGATCGTGCAGGCGAACTTCGAGCTGTAGGCGAGCTTCAACTGCAGGCGAGCTGGGACCGCAGGCGAGCAGGCAGACTTGGGTCTGCAGGCGAGCTTGCAGGCGAACTGGGTCTGCAGGTGAGTTTGGGACTGCAGGCTTTGCAACTGCAGGCGAAGCTGGGGACTGCAAACGAACCTGGGTCTGCAGGCGATCTTCAAGCCGTTAGGCGAGCTCTATAGCATGGATCGAAGAATAGGCCGTAACTTTCAAACCGTAAGTCAGAATTGGACAAATTATATATGAAAATCACCTATCTCGACGAGATGGAGCCATCCGAACCTAGCTGAAGGCTTTGGTTCGCTTCCTCCGTTTCGCCAAATTCCTTACGGTTTGGGAGATATCTGCGTTTTCCCCTTTTTCTGCTATTTCGGGCGAGGTTTTAGCAGTTTTGTTCTGAACTTCTCTGATAAGGATTAAAGGCAATTTTTATTGCCTACACACCATCACATTAAACACAAGGTCGATGTCATAATTACATTCCCCCAAAAATCTAAATAACTCATCGGACCTTATCAGCACCTTATTCCCCCTGTCACCTTCGCATTAATCACAAGTGGGACTCATGACACCTATAGCCGACACATGTAAAGTATCAGCCAAATAAGCTGACTGCATGGACTAGGCCAAGATTACATAAATACCCTCATCAACTCGGTATAGATAGACAAATTGCCTATTGACCAAAGGTATCCAGTTGTTGCACACTTAGAGAACTATATCAGTTTTTTTCTCCCCTTCGGATCATAACTAACTTGATCGTCGGAGGAACCACTGGAGAACCAAACTCCGATCCTCTAACGTGTTGCATGCGTGCATGACTCTCTTCCAATTAGGGGATCAACCATCAAAGGAGATCATGGGACCTGAACTTCTTTAAAATTAGCCCTAATTCACACTGTTAATCATCTGTGCATCGACACTAGTCCACAATTATGATCTTAAGTATGCCACTAACACAAAACAGGGACTGACGCTGTCATGAGGTATCTACAAAATGCCAAAATTATTATTATTATTTTTTTGCAATTCCTATAGTTATTTGGGGCTTAGTGTGATTGGGAGTTTACTGCAAATTTCTGAAAGTTCTTAAAGGTTACCTAGAATTTTATTGATTAGCATATTTTATTATATTTTTATACTCTTATTTCAAATAAAGTTTCATGCAAATAGCTCATTAAAAAAAATATTTATCTTGTTTTGTGGGGAATCAAGAAACTTGATGAAAAATGGAGAAAATAAAGAAAAGCTTAAATGAAGATATCTTAAACCTAAAAGACTCCAAATAAACCCCAATTAAAGCCCAAAAAAGGCCAATAAACTTAAGAAAAATTGGAGAAAAAATGACTAAAATAGCTCATCAATGAGGTGTTGTAACGTGTTTCATGCAGAAGCATGTAGGATAATTTTGTTTTATCTATATGTGAATTATATAGGACTATTTGTCTTTCAATTATGAATCCAAATATTCAAATTTGAGTGAAATTGAAGTTGTAGAACTCAAGGTATAATCATTTTAGTGAGCTAGTGGCAAAACTATAAATATCTTAAAATCTATGCAAGATTGTGTAGCCTAGAATCCAATTGCTGAAATTGATTCTTGGGGGCAAAGTTCCATCTAATAGCTGATATTGGTTTTATGTAATTTATAAATAGGAGTAGAGAGTGACGGTGGGATATGTAAAAGTTTTTATAAATCATCTTCTAAATGATAGGAGGGTTCGTAAGTCTTCCAAATACTATAAAACTGTAATTTTGCAATAAAATAAAAAATTATCTTCTTTAAATTTCCTTTTTTCATAAAGGAAGAACTTTGGGTCTATTTAATGGGACAACTCGATACTTTAATGTTGAATTTTTTTTTGTTTAATTAGAATCGCATGTTTTTAGGAAAATAGGTTAGATTTAATTCTTTTAATTTATGTTTTGCTCTTCTTATTTAATTTTTATGCTTAGTTCATTTTGCTAAATTTAGGAGTAGATTTAATTTCATGCTTGGATGGATAGTTATTTTTTTTTGTTTTTTATTGGTTACTTTTTTTTGCCTATTTATTCATGCTCTCTTTATTTGCTCAGAACTTAGGATTTAATAAAATATTGCGGCTAAAATTCTTAGGATAATTAGGAGAGAGAAAACTAATATAACTTATTTGTTAGAATTAGAATTGCTCTATACTATGTCTTAATTACTTATGTATAGTTTAATCAGTCAAAACAATTATTGGTAGAATATTCTAATTTGATATGTTATACTTTCATTAAGTTGTCAAATAATCTATGCTTTTAGTATTATAGGATTATTATTTTTAATTGATTATCTATGCATAAATTTTATTTTTATTTTTAGAATCTATCTTGATAACCTATACTTTCTTTAATTAGATTGATAAGCTATGTTTGTTAATTTTAAACATAAATAAAAAAGAGAGTAATTTCTAGATCTGATAAATAGTTACCTAGTGGAATCTATTGTAATTTCCTGGTTAATTCTCTTGTCCTTTCTCTCTCATTTCTTAATTTTGTTAGTTGTCACATTTTCTCCCATTTTCTATTTTTTATTTTTATATTTTCTTTCTAGTTCTTTGATCTCTCGGCGTTCTTTCCTCTTTTTCTCTTATTTCTTTTATTTTATATTTTATATTTCTCTTTTTTTGTTTGCATTTCTATTCTCTCTTTTCTCCTTTTTTTCTATTTTTTATGTTCTTTTCCTTTTAAAACAACAAAACTCCATAAACCCACTTTAAACCTTTTTCATAAATAATATTTTTCCAACCACTTCATCAAAAAGGAAAATCTCTAACGTAAAAAAAAATCTATATTTGTGGCTCGATTGTTTCTATACTATAATTTGTTGTGCACTTGTAACATATTATTTCATACACAATATTTATCTCAAAAGAGTTTCGTATGAAACCACCTTAACTTTTATCCAAATAGATATTTACCATGTTTATTTATTTTGACCTATATTTATTTACATGTTTGCAATGTCACACCTTAACCACTATTCTACCCAAAAAATCTAGAAATGTCTATTTTACCCCTCTCCTCTTTCCACCTCTTTCCTTTCCTGCCCTCGCCTCCTCCCCCATCCTCCTCCACCTCTTCCCCTCTCCGTCCTCCTTCACCTCCTCCCTTCTCCTCTCCCCGTTTCCCTCCTCCACCTTCTTCACTATTTATCCATTACAAGGATTTCTCCAATTCGCAATCTCTTCCTCTTCTCCTCTTCCTCCACCAGTGGCCCCCTCTACCTCCTCCTTTTCCTCTCCTCTCATCCTCCATCGCTTAGGTTTCTTCAAAATCTAACGCATTCCCTCATTTCTTCCCCCTCCACCAATGACCCCCCTCTACCTCCCTCCTTTCCCCTTCTCCTCCTCCATCCTCACCTCCTTACTCTCTTTTTTCTCCACTTTCATTGCCGATTGCCTCCCCACCTCATCCGACGCCGGTCCATCACCATCAACCTCCCTCTCCCTCTCCTTTTCATCTACTCCTCTCCGTCCTACTCTCGAGTTAGATTAGAGGATATAATAGGAATTTCAGGTTTTTTTAAAAGAAAAGACCAAAAAGTGTGACATTGCAAACATGAAAGCAAATATAGATGGTTTTGACTAAATAAAATAAATATGGTAAATATAAATTTGGACAAAATGTAAGGTAGTTTTTAAGTAAAACCCATATTTCATACTATAAATGTTAAAACATACTGCTAGATAACTCACTTATTACAAATAAAATTACATATACTGTCTAAGAAAATCAAATTTAAATATATTAATACCTAATATTACTGAAATGTCTTTGTGCCTCTCTCTCTTTCTCCCTTCCGCAGCCCCTTGTCAGGTAGGTTCTATCACATTATTATGAAAAGCCTCGCTCAATTAAATGAAATAGCTGTATAAAAACTGATATGCATTTTGCTTCTAGATCAACATGTCATAGGAGTGTCTATCACGTCCTCATCAACAGAACTCATACGATAAGGATATGCTACCCACAATGAAGACCTTAGAAATACAATATCTATAAGGACAAAATGATTAGTTCACCCTTAAAGCATTGATGAACTTACCCCCTAAAGTATCTCTTAAACTATGTGTACATGTCTAATATGATCATTTTGTGATTCTACAGTCAAATATTAAAAGATGATGACAATTTAGTTTTTTTTTTTTTTTTTTTTTTTTTTTTTTTTTTTTTTTTAAATAGTAAATTTTTTTTTTTTTTTTTTTTTTTTTTTTTGCATTTCTTATATTTTTTGCAATAAAAAATGATTATTTTAGTTCATGAAAATGATCAAATGGAAAAAGGTTTTGGGAAAAAGTAGTTAAAAATAGTTTTTTAGTTTGGATAAAAGGAAGATAAACAGATAAAACCCCTGACAAAATAAAAAAAAAGCATTATTATGTCATTAAATTAGTTAAATATTTGATCATAGACTTACAAAATAACCACAATGAAATCATAAACATAGTTTTAAGGGGCAAAATAGGTAAACTAATACTTTAAAGAGCAACTTAAAAATTCACCAACACTTTTAGGGGGAAATAATCGTTTTGCCCTATTTATAACCAAACTATCATAAGACATAACCTCCTCAAATATTCACTTACTAAAACGCAATCATCATCATCATTAACATTACATGTTGATATCCTGTGGGCATTTATCATCATAACACATGCTAAAGGCGCATGAACTACACAAATAATATTCATAGACACCATCACAACTGCCGTGAAATAATGCTAGAGACAAACTCTTCTAACTCTGCATGCAAATAGAGGATGCATGAACTATGAAAAACTCACTCAAATTGGTTTTTTAAAGAAGTAGAATACTCAAGACTTAATGGACAGAAAAGTACCTTAAGCAAAACATACAATTTACATTGAATACTGAATAAGATCCACAAAAAAAGAAAAAGAAAAGAAAACACAAGAGAGATGAACTTATCTACCTCAAGAACAATGTCATGCATGACTGAAGAATCAATAAAATCCTGAGACGCACACACCACATCCTATTCACAAATGTTGCCAATACTGATACACAAAGAGACTCAAATCCCAATCCTTCAATCTTTAACAGGAACCTCAATCTCTCCATTGGGAGCAACAATTACTTCATTTTGTGCAACACCAGAACCTGCAGAGTTCGTCATAATCTCATTTGCTTCCATTGCTTTATCAGAAGAATCTGCTTCATCCTTAGTAACGTTGTTGCTCTCATCTACTTTAGGTTTAATGGTCTTTTGCTTTTGGTTCGACACTTTAGCTTTTGAACCAAGGGGTCTTGCCTCGGGCTTTGCAGTTTTTAATTTCTGGGATGGTAGCTTTGAGAGTGACTTCTCGGAGGGTTTCTTTGAAGCTATCGAGCTACCATTAGCATTTGCTGCACCTTCATTTGACTTTTTAGGGTTTGCGGTGAAAGATGAGATGCTATCTTCTGAAGAATTGTTTGCAATAGTGGTGGATGGTTTATGGCGTCCTAGCTTCGGTGATCTTGCACGTGTAGTAGGAATCTGTTATATTGATACAAAGAAAATATGTCTATTAAGGTAGTATGATACAAAGAAAATACGTCTATTAAGGTAGTATGACCAAAACTTTGGTTTACGATTATATTTGTATTGCGCTTGGAAACAAACGAATATGAAATGATAAAATTAAAGACAGGAAGTAAAGAGCTAAGGAAATAATTCAATGAGCTAGTCTCTGTATGAATCAATCAAAATGTTTAGATTTTCCTTACGAAATATGTATATTGTTTACATCAATTCATTGAATATTACTCGACAGATAGCATTGAGTTTTTAGCAGATACACATAACAATATCTGCTTAAACATTAAAAATATTTGGCGAGCGTCCATGTGTGTTAAATTTCAGCAGCATCAAGAATGCTCTTTTATCCCAAAAAATCTTTGGGTTTGATACATAAACGCATCCGGTCCACCGGTCCTCTCCTACTAAATTGATGAATACCATTGGACTGGCCCACAATCCACATTAATTTAGATTTCTAGACAAGGCCTCTTCTAGATTTACGATTCTGTTACACCTGTATTACAAATTATTAGTCTAGCACATGTCTCTGAACCATCTAGACTGTTAGTTTTCATCATCAATTGAGGCCATCTCTAAACTATCCAATCTTTAAGAGCATGAGTTTAGACGCTAAATGCTTGGTAGTTGAGTCCCATGCCCAACCAACTCTTTGTTTTCTTAAGAATAAGTGGACAATTCCCACCTCTAGGGCAGAAATTTCTCTAAACATGTTGCCAGAAAGTGCATGATAGAGTTTTCAAGCTTTTCTTGTTCGGACATTCTCTTTTACTTCCAAAGCTGTACCTTGACATAAATGAACATGAACATAGTATGACGCGAAGGATGCTAAAGAGGCGTATATTCCAGAAAGAGCTCAATTTTGATTGAATGAGGCGACTAAATTACTTTGCCATCCTTACCAACTTTTGTGTAGATAGTTTGTTAGTAAGGTGACTGGAGCAAGCATTCCTTCTGAAGCTACTTAAGCTCAAGGTTTTGACTGATTGATATTGATAAAGGCTATTAATATAAATAGGATTTTCCAGCAGCAAAGAGACTCTCTGTAAGTTCTTTCTACTCAAAGTTTATGTATTGATCTAAAGGACTTATAATTTGTTTTCTAGATAAATTTTCAGATATCTCTCCGAGATATAGATCCAACTCCTAAATTAGAAAATATGCATCAGGACCTCCTAAAGAATTTAGAATTTGAACAGACTAATGGATGTCCCCTTAAAATGCAAATCACAAACAGTACAGAGAGAAATGTAAGTAAAACCATACGCACAATTTATTTCAGCCCAAGAGCTCATAATTAGAAAATTTTTCCATAAAGCAAAAGCATCAGCTTTCTGGAGGAAAAAGAACAACCAAATATATACGCACACAGCATATGATCTACTTAGAATTAAAGAGAAAGAATTAAACAGAAAGTCCCACAAATAAACATAAATGCGCAAAGTTTATCTTCTATTTCAGTAAACATAACTCATGTATAGGGTAGTCGTTGTGTGAGAAACTAAAAAATTAATTGACTTAAAGACATTTGAATTAAGACAAACTCATATGGTTAATGTTGTATTTCGATGAAAATCTTCCCAAGCAAAACTTTTCTTTTTAAAAGTTCGCTCCCTCCCTCCCTCCCTCCCTCCAGTAGTTGTCTGTGAGACACACAGAGATGCTGGTTTCCAAGGTTGGAAAAACCTTGAAACAGAAATTGTAACATAAACATCTCCAGGTAGCCAACAGTAAGAACAAGAACTACAACTGATAAATTAATGCCTTGTAAATAAATTTTGGGGAGGTCTGTCTTCTAGATATTTGATAAAATAATTTTATTTCATGTAATTACTCTTTTCCAGTTCAAAATTCAAGAAGCTTTCTTATAGCATCTGCGAAAATATATTGGAGATTAGGTAAAGACAAAAGAACCATGTTTATATCCTGCCAAAAACAGACACAAAAAAGAGAAAAGAACAGACACCCTCCTCCATCCCTTTCACAGCGTCTCAAACACAAAAATACCTCTCTCCCTCCGCACGTGCACGCACACACATGCACGCCAACGAACAATAAGCACAAACACCCCGTAGTCTCTCCCTTCCTCATAGAGAGAGAGGAGGGAGGGAGGGATGGAGGGAGTATATACAACTTATGTCTATTGACATTTATTGTTAAGATATTCGTCTAGTGAAGTTTTCTTTAAGTATGCAGATTGCTATAAGTGTTTCTATAGATAGCTATTCCAATTGTATACTGTAATATTATGCCGTACCATCAAAAGTATAGAGGTGACCTAAAAGAGTTGAAGATGGAAAATATTTTGTAAAGCATGCCTAGACAAACATAAGAAGCGAAATGAAAAACATAAACTACCTTCTTCAACTCAACCATCGGAGGACCAGGTTCTTGGTAGAAACTTGGCATCGGTGTAGCTTTAAATGTCAGGCTCTTCCTAAACTTTCTGATTTCCGCTTCTTGACTCTCCTATATTACGTTATTTACTAAAGATATTAGATGATACTTAATAATCATATATTACAAAGCATCCAAAAAAGCTTCAAAGGAACATAAGGCTTTCTACCTTAGATTTTTCCTGCAAGTTGGTCTTTTCCAATTCCTTAGCATGGATCTTCTCTTCTAGCTTCGAGAAGAACTGATGAACAAATTTCAGCTTGGATCATTAGTTGGTCAAATATCACACCTTATGATAGGCAAAAAAAGAGAGAAAAAACATATATGTTGCTTACCTCCTTACGTTTCTCAGCACGCTCATCTAGTCTGAAGGAAAAAACAGAACCAGTACTCTTCCTGTGAGCCATCGTACGTGGGGTTGTACTTCTAGACATAGCACATTAGGAAAGTGAGATACTAACTAGATTGCAGAAATAAGGAATTTATGACACCCCATTAAAAATAAACGTGAGTAAGAAAAATACGAGGTAGTGGAATTGGCATCATCATCATTTTTTGCTGGCAATGTTTGTTTCAAGGGCTTCAAGGACTTCACATCACCATTATTGGACCTGTTATGGAATGTTAAATCCTTGAAAACCAAGTAAAGATAAATCTGAACATTTTATATACTGTTGAGCTCAATATTATATTTTAATATTTTAGTGTTCTTTTGAAGGGAAAAGAAGCACATAAAGAAATGTTAAGCCAATAGGTATAATTTAGTGTTATAAGAAGGGCCTATTCCAACCAGAGATTATCTGAAACAGGTAATTGCCACTGGGCCGTCATAGTGAATAATCTTTTTATTGTTTTCATGTCCAACTTGGATTGTAAATGTGATTAACTATAAGCGGAACCACAGCGCATATTTGATGCTTGTGCAAGCTTATCCCATACCGCAGACATGTACTGCAGCTTTGAAATTTGAAGAGCTGAAAAATATTGCCATTGATGTATTTAAATTTTAAAGACAGGTTAATGATTCCAGAAAATTTAATTGCTAAAGCATTATGCACAAGAAACTTAGAGGAGAAACCAGTAGAAGAAAGTCAAGAAATCACTGAAAAGGTGATAAAACTTACTTGATAGATTCAGAATGAGCACCATGATCCACTGATCCAGACTTCACAGGCTGATTGCAGAGGAGTTCAACCATATAATAAATAAAATTGAAGGCATACTTTATGATTATAAATATAAGACAATTCACAGTCCTGTGAAATCTTCTAAACAAAAAAGAAGAATAATAATAAAATAGCTTCCTTGGCCAAATTTAGAGACTTACCATTGACTTTCTTTCTGTAACAGTCTTCTTAGCGATAGCGCCACCTGTTTGGCATATAAAATCAACATATGAACTAAACATCTAGATAATTAGCTCAACTTTAATAAATTAAGTAGAAGAAAATCAGTAGAACGCTAACCGTTGATAGTCTCTGACCCATCGGACGTCTTGGTATCTCCTTTTGCCTGCTTAACAATTGCTGGGCTCTTCCTCAAAGCACTAGAAAGAGAACCCTTAGCGGGGAAAGAAAGGCTTTGGGAAAGCCCTGCCCTTGGGTTTTTCTTAAGCCCAGCAGCCACCCCATTTCGAGCCCCCGTATCTTTTTGTGCCTTTGACGCTCCACTTTTCTACACAATCGAGGATTCATGTCTATAATGAATTCATAACATTCCAAACCCTTGGAAAATAGCAAAAGAACATAAAGAAAATATACTTTTAGAACAGTTGAAGCCTTGCTTTCGAGAGCAGAGGCAGTGCCTTCATTCGCAACTCCAGAAGAAGTATGACCTTCAGCTGTCAATGGTGGGTCTTCGAGCACACCACTGTTCACTTGTAAGGCATCACTGGTGATCTCAACAACCTCGTTCTCCTTATTAACATTTGAATTCAGTTCAACCGCCACTGGATCTTCCGCCGAAACCCCATTACTAAGCTCTACCTCAACTTCATTAACAACTTCCATTGCCCAACCGACTTATATCTAAGAAAAGAATGAGACTGGGCCCTGCAACAAACAAAGTGCTCCAAAGATCAATCTTCCTCCCGTAACCTTTTGTTGAACAACTACATCAAGAGAAAAACTCAAGAGAAGAGACCACATACTAAAATCAGACATAATGATCTGACATTTGAAGCTAATTAGATCAAATAAGAAAAAACAAACACAAAGAAAAGGAGATTTTATTAAAGATATATTTTTTTAATTACTCCTTCTCAAGAGAGATCCAAAGGAAGTCAACAGCCATTCTCACACTCGAAACTACAAACTTCAAAGAACCGAGAGCCATACTAGAATCTAATAGATCAAGGACAAACGATACAGGATCCAGTTGTACCTCTCGATTCCAAAAGCCAACGTCAGAGCCCGAGATCCAATCGCTTCAATCGATCCCCGAGCCTAGAACCAGCCGCCATGATCCAGACCAATTCCGAGAGATCGAAGCTTCCCGAATCGAGATCGAGCGCTCTCAATCGATCGATCGCTGCGTACGAAACCCTAATTTCTCTCCTCAGCGCATCAGATTCTCTCTCACTCTCCACTCTCTGTACTTCGACTCCGACGGCCGGTTTGTCTTTTTTTTCAAATTAAAGATAATAAATAAATGAGACTCTTATTCACGAAACTGCCACCCGGAATCTTGACGAAAATACCCCTGTTCGTATTCGCTTACGAGCTTGCTTTGGGAGAGGCATTTATGTCATTACGGAGAACGTGGGGGTCCCGTACTGCTCGCCGTCGTGGCGGCGTGAGGATGTGTTCACCTAGCGGCGTGAGGATGTGTTCAACTGACGACGTGCGCTGGCCGAACGTGGATCAAGCGGTTCAAATCTATCGTCTGAATAAATTCTGTCCGTTGATTGCAGCCCCAATGATTTCGCCCTTGGAACAGCAGACACCCTGGCGGGTGCCGCGTTGCCATCGCGCTGGCTGTATCCGGTGGAGACCGACACGTGCCAGTCGATCGTCGTTTTCGTACAGCTGGGGACGGGCCGCCCTGATCTCGACCGTTGGTCTGATGGGGGTTTGAGGACCGTTGGATTTAGATCGGGCCGCGGATAGACGCTAAACTTTTACGGCCGCGAGCACATGAGAGATGCGGGCCTTTGGCGGCGCCTGCCGAGTGAGGAGTTAGGCTAACGCGCGTGGCGGGTGGGTCCAGTGTTTCGCCGAGCGCAAGGACTTCGGCATTCCCCTGTTTGTCGGTTGGTCTTTTTTTTTGGGTCCAGCTAATAAGAGAACTTCCCCGTTGATTTTTAGGCACGTTTGCGACTTGATAGAATCTGGCTGCGCGAAAACAATTTTAGGAAAACCTTTTTTTTTTAAAAATTTATCTCCACTTCTTCATGGTTTGATTCAAACGAAAAGAATAAGAAAAGAGATGTAGGTATAGTAGGTTTATATAGAGATGTGAATAGGTAAGTGCCTCTAGGCCTTATTCCATCCCGCGACCGGTCTTGGCCTCCGGATGGGCATGGCTAAAACAGAGCCCCGGAACCGGACGCGTACCCCGGGCCGGGTCCGGGCCCGGGCCCGATCGGGCCGGCCGGGCTGGCCGCCCGGATTTTTTTTAATTTTTTAATTTTATTTATCAAATTTTTTAAATTTTATTTAAATTTTAAATTATAAAAAAAAGACAAGAAAAATTAATAAAAAACAATAATTTTATTAATCACTTAAAATGACATAAATTACAAATAAAAAATAATAAAAACAAATTCTTTATTAATAATTAATAAATCATTTACAAATTACAAGTACAAATTTATTTTAAAATTCATCGCATCACAATAGATAAGTACATCCCAACTAGGTTGGCACCTACTCACCTATATCACTATTATTTTTAGGGGTTTTTGTCTTTAGGCCCATTTGTTTACTCCCATTTATTTTTAAACCCAAGTACTATTATTTGTATCTTTAGACCCAATTTACTTTTGGTATTTGTCTTTAAAGCCAATTCTAAAATACAATACTTTTACTACTTATATTTATACAAAATGATTGTAAAAACCCCAAAATACCCCTTTGATTGGCCCAATAAAACCCAGTACTCTCTCATCTTCCCCGGCGGATTCCGAAGCTACCGTCGAAACCTGCACTGTTAGTAAGTCATGAACCATGGTGGAAAGTATAGGATATGAAACTGATCCATATACTTTCCACCATTGCAAAATATCTAAAGCATTTCCTTGACATCTAACTAAAGAAGCAGAAAAATATTCATCTATTTCAGAAACCTCCGATGATGACGATCCAAGTCCAGATCCACCAGTTAGCTCAGCTACCATTGCATACCTATCAAAACTTACACTTTTACCTCGGGCTCGGGATGAGCTCGAAGAAACCGAAGCTGCAGACTGTTGTGCAGCTACACCTGGAACCGAAACCCATTTCAAATTCGGTAATATTCGATTACTAGGGAGAGGTCCGCCCATTGTTACGCGTGATCCATTGCCAGTCTCGACTATATTACTTGAATCTAGAATGATAATTTTTTTTTAATTAGGGTTCCTAGGTCTCTTAATGCTTCTATTATTAGGATTTTGTAATTAACATGGCATATATGTAAGTGAATGGATGTTATTTTGAATTTGATTACCACATAAATCAACGATAAGCAGAAATAAGAAATTTACACATGAACAATTGGTAATTGGTGTGTGCGTCAACCGGTACTTGTTCTTTTTTGAATAATTACATGTGTGGTAATGAGTAGACTGCCAAATAGGTTTGTGCTCTACTTATGAACGTTTGCCATCGGTATAAGCCAGCAACGAATTCATTTTTATTACAACTTTGACTTATTGGTTCTCTGTTATTATTATGGGGTTTTTGTCCTGTCAAAATTAGATTTGGTTTGCTCCTTGTCCTTCTTTGTTTCCTTGAAAATGACTGACATGGTTCATCATTGGTTCTATTAATATTAGTTCTAAATTGTTGTTGCCTATGATATCGTGGTAGTTTGATGTTTGATTCTGGGTATGACTGACATGGTTTTGGTAAGGGGTATTGTGCTTCTACAAAATGCTTTTTATTTGATGTTCTTTCATGTATTGTGGAGGAATCAGAGAGCAAGAAGCTTTGTAGGAATTAGTCATTATAGCAAACAACAACAAAGCCTTTAACCCAAGTTTGCAACTATCTATTACATTCTTTATTATTCTTTGCATGTTGAGAGTTGTTTATATACTTAAATTTGTTCCTAATGATGCTTGTAGCGCGTTGAGCCTCCGAGACGAGTAATGGGCCAGCTAGAAAAGGAAAAACAAGAAAGAAGAAAGAAGAGGGAAAACTGGATTTAAGTTAAAATTGTTCTGTAATATATGTATCTGAAATATGTGTGAGTATGTTTTGTAACATTTCTCAGCTTTTGGCTAAGTTTGTGACTGTGAATGTATCTGAAATACATGTGAAGATGTTTTGTAACATATATGCGAGGATGTTTTGTAACATATTTCAATTTGTGCTGCAAGTGTAACATATATGCGAGGATGTTTTGTAATATGTGAGGATGTTTTGTAACATATATGTGAGGATGTTTTGTAATATGCGAGGATGTTTTGTAACATATATGCGAGGATGTTAAAATTGGTCATTGTTAAAATTTGTATGATCTCTAAAATTGTGACTGAATGTAGTGATGAGTTTGTAGCATATTTCAGCTTGTGATGGTGTTTGTGATTGAAAATGTACCGTGTTAAGTGTAGAGGATGTTTTGTAACATATCTATGTTTGTGATTGAAAGTGTAGCGGGTTATCATGTAAGGGTAGTGGGTTGCACTGTAAGTGTAGCGGGTTATCATGTAAGGGTAGTGGGTTGCACTGTAAGTGTAGCGGGTTATCATGTAAGGGTAGTGGGTTGCACTGTAAGTGTAGCGGGTTATCATGTAAGGGTAGTGGGTTGCACTGTAAGTGTAGCGGGTTATCATGTAAGGGTAGTGGGTTGCACTGTAAGTGTAGCGGGTTATCATGTAAGGGTAGTGGGTTGCACTGTAAGTGTAGCGGGTTATCATGTAAGTGTAGCGGGTCAACGTGCTATACTTACATGTTAACGTGTTATACTTACGATATAACGTGTTATACTTACAATTTAACGTGTTATACTTACATGTTAACGTGCTATACTTACGATATAATGTGCTATACTTACTGGGTAATGTGCTATACTTACAGGTTAATGTGTTATACTTACAGGTTAACGTGCTATACTTACAGGTTAACGTGCTATACTTACTGAGTAACGTGCTATACTTACAGTTTAATGTGCTATACTTACAGGCTAACATGCTATACTTTTAGGTTAATGTGCTATACTTACAATATAACGTGCTATACTTTCGATATAATGTCCTATACTTACAGGTTAACGTCCTATACTTACAGGTTAACGTGCTATACTTACAGGTTAACGTGCTATACTTACAGGTTAACGTGCTATACTTACTGAGTAACGTGCTATACTTACAGGTTAATGTGCTATACTTACAGGCTAACGTGCTATACTTTTAGGTTAATGTGCTATACTTACGCACGTTATATTGTAAGTATAGCACATTAACCTAAAAGTATAGCACGTTAGCCTGTAAGTATAGCACGTTACTCAGTAAGTATAGCACGTTAACCTGTAAGTATAGCACGTTAACCTGTAAGTATAACACATTAACCTGTAAGTATAGCACATTACCCAGTAAGTATAGCACGTTACCCAGTAAGTATAGCACGTTAACCTGTAAGTATAGGACGTTAACCTGTAAGTATAGGACATTATATCGAAAGTATAGCACGTTATATTGTAAGTATAGCACATTAACCTAAAAGTATAGCACGTTATGAAGTAAGTATAGCACGTTATATTGTAAGTATAGCACATTAACCTAAAAGTATAGCACGTTATGAAGTAAGTATAGCACGTTATGGAGTAAGTATAGCACGTTAACCTATGTTTATACGGTTGATGCTTGTAAGCGATTTGGGATGTTATCTATGTTCAGTTGAGGCATTTTGTGAGACGCTTCACGTTCAACATGCTTTTACCAAGTAGAGATCAATTACGATTGCATTTAATTATATGATTAGCAATTTGAGATGTAGTTTACATTGCGTCGAGAAAATGATGTACAAGTTATTTGCAGGCGTTGTTGTGGCAATTTGTGGAACACTTCATGGCATCATGCTTTTGCCAACTTGAGTTTAATTAGAAATGCATTAGGTATATTGTCTCGTTGAGACAAATTATCAAACACCTTACATGCGTGTATTTCCTTCATTTGCCTAGCTTTTTTTCTTTTTCTTTTTCCTTTTTTATTGGGGTAGTACTTCCAGCAATTCTGAGAATCAATCGCATAAAAAATTACTCAAACACACTGAAACCCACAAAGAGGAGCATTTACAGCAAATCAATCCAAATGCCTCATATTTCCTCTACAACTTCCCATGACAAGAAAATGGGGCAAGTTAGATTAGTTGTTCTCACATTTCACCTAAATCCTAAGCACCTATTTCTCCAAAACTCAAATTACCTAAAAAGAGGCAGCTCTTTCAGCAGACAAACCTCCATCCAACCAAACTAATGCAATTTC